GCTCACTCTGGGCTCCATAGCGACCTCCTGCCTCCGCCTCCCAAGCTAGCTGGAACTCAGGATGCGCCACCCATGCCCGGTTGATTTTTTCTATAATATGTTTTAGTTGGGCTATTTATTTCTTTCATTTTTAGTAGAGATGGGGTCTTGCTCTCACTCAGGCTGGTTTTCAACTCCTGACCTTGAGCGATCCGCCTGCCTCGGCCTCCCAGAGTGCCAGGATGACAGGCGTGAGCCACCGCGCCTGGCCATGAGTTAATCTTTTATTCCTGATATCAACACCACTGGGTCACGGTGCATAATAACCCTTTTTATATGTTGTTGGATTCGGTTTGCTAGTATTTTATTTTCATGCCCATATTGATCAGGGACATCGGTCTGTAGTTTTTTTGCAGCATCTTTGTTTTTAACCTTTGGACTTTAACTGATTTTTGGTTTTTCTTCCCTCTGGCTGTCCCCCAAGAGTGGGTGCCCCTTGGTGCCGGAGATGTGTCCCAGTGTTATGTTCGAGATCCGCAGGGCCACAGGACAGAGAGACAGAGTCACCGAGGCTGTGATTATCAAAAGGAGTTTTATCGTCTAGCTTGAGCTAGGTCGAGCCCCCAGGTGCCAGCCCGTGGCTCTTCTCCGGGCAGGGGCCCCCCTTTGTGTGCTAGCGACCTTTATTACCTGTTATAGCTAAGCTGTTTACACGCTGGTCATGCAGCCGCCCCCACAGCGATTCTCACTCCATCCTGCCCCCGACAGGCTCCGACCTGCTCCGGGTCCTCGCTGAGACTCCGGTTTCCGCGCTCTTTGTCTTTCTCCTCTGCGCCCCATAATGTGCCCGCAAAGCCTTGCGGTTAGCAAGCAAGCAGTAAACAGAAGCTGGACGTGCCCGTTGTCCTCACAGCCCCGTGTCTCACACCGCGAGCCTCCGACCCCTGGGGTCAGCGCGGGGTGGGGAGACGGGGTGACAGCCGACAGAGACCAATGAGGCAGCACCTGCCGGGCGCCAGGCTCTCTTCTGGGTCCTGGGGGTCAAGCGCACTGGGAGTTGACTCCCCCCAGCTGGACGCAGCCTCCCCTGCCGAGCTCTTTAGCCCCCACAGCGCCGAGGCCGCGCCGGTGTGCGTGTTTCCCAGCCGTGGCGCCTACACGGATGCCGCAGACGTCCCGGGCGCTCCCGGGCACCGGGCACGCAGGGAAACTGCGCTGGGCTCACAGGGCGGGTGGTGGCGGGGACGGGAGGGGCCCGCGAGGCCCCTCGTGTGAGGCGTCCGGGGCGCTCTTGGAGGAGAACGTGGTCAGCTCAGAGCCCCGGGGCCGTCCCGGCAACGCCCGCCGTCCCGCTGAGCACCCAAACCCCCCGGAGTCACTGTGGAAAACAGGTACCGTGGTTCCCCGAAAATAAGACCCGTCCATACAGCAAGCCCTGGCGGGATGTCTAAGCATGTGCGCCATAGAAGCGCCACCCCGAAAACCAGCCCCAGTGACGGGCGTGGCTGCGCAGCACGTCTGCTCAACCCGTGCGTGTCGTCGCAGAGCGGGAAAGAACACGAGCAGCCCTTCTCATCCGCCCCGTCCTGACAGCTGCTGTCCCAGAGGTGACCGGAAAGGTGCGGGCAGCCCCACCAGCAAGGCCGGCTCCCCCTGTCGGGTCCCGGCCGTCCTGTGCGTGCTGCAAGCTGAGGCTCTGAGGGGAAAATGACACGTCCCCTGAGAATAAGCCCTAGGCTGGTCTCTTCTTGAGGGAAAATAAATAGAAGATCCCGTCTTATTTTCGGGGAAACACGGTATTTGGTTTTCTGTGATAATCTAAATTTCTCCAGAACTTCAGAACCTTTCCTTTAAATAAATTACATAATCAGAATGATTAGTAATGGTCTACTTGGGTTCATTTGTTTGCAAGATCGAGAAACCAGGGCTGGGGCGTGCGGGAACCCGGTGCTGTGTCCCCAGTCGTCCTGCAAACCTAAAGTTGTTGTAAAATAAAACCGGTATTTAAAAAAGAATACAAGGAGATCCGCTGCGGTTCTTTCCTTAGCTCTGCGCTTTGTGTTGATGCCCTGGACGTTTCAGCCACGCCGTCACACTGTCACTGTCACACCGCCACACTATCACACCATGACACTGTCACACCGCCACACAGCCACGCCGCCACGCTGCCACACTGCCATGCGCGTCACGCTGTCCCCAAGCATCAGTCTGGCTCGTTGTGGCCGGATCTTCCTGTTCACACGGCGCGGCCGGGTGCCCGTGGCCTGTCCACGCGCCCTGCCTCTCACGGACGCCTTCGTTTATTGCCTTGAGTCTCATCGTGCTAAGGAATCGTCTCGTCTCACGTCCGTTCTTTAGTCTAGAGTAGAACTGCATCCAGTTGCTGTGAAGTCCAGTAAGACGGTTGTTTTTATCTCGACTCGCACCTGTGGTCTTACTAGGGTTTCCTAGTAGATTCAGCCACCCTGCGTTTTCTAGGTAAGCCGTATCAGGACATGGTTTTTCAGGTACGCTCAGCCTCCAGCTCCCCGTGAGGCCCCAGGACACGAGAGCTTCGATCGTTAGGACACGGGAACCGCAGGACAAAGGCCAGAGCTCCAGCCCTTCTTCCCACACCCCAGCGTCCAGCGCCTCAGGAACTGGCGGTGACGCCGTGGCCGCCCTCTGAGTGGGGACCGGGATTTCTGAAAGGGCTGGGAGGGGCGAGGGTGGGCGGATGACAGGCATCTGGGTCCTGGCTGGGGCTCAGAGGAAGGGCTGGTGGGGAGGGCCGGTGGGGGAAGGGCTGGTGGGGAGGGCCGGGGGAGGGTGTGGGACAGGGCTGGTGGGGGAGGGCAGTGGGGGAAGGCCGTGGGAGGCAGGTGGGGACAAGGCGGGTGGGGAGGACTGGTGGGGGAGGCTACTGGGGGAGGCATGGGGGAGGATTGGTGAGGGAGAGTTGGTGGGGAAGGGCTCGTGGGGGAGGGCAGGTGGGGAAGGACTGGTGGGGAGGCATGGTGGGGGAGGCTGGTGGGGAGGGCAGGTGGGGGAGGGCTGGTGGGGAGGGCTGGGGCAGCCAGGCCAGAGGGCTGCAGTCTGAGCAGGGGCGGGAGGCCGAGACGGGGAGAGCTACGGGCTTCCAGCCTGACGTTGTGGGTTCGAGTCCTGCCTGTGAGAGTGGAATCGCCA